GAGTGCACTAAACAGTCTAACGTCGACATCTTGAGTACACTCTAATAATGTTTGTTTAATCCATCTACTTATGGTTTGACTTGAAGCTTTTCCATGAGGCTTTTTGTATGTATAAAAGATTTTCTATTGTGTTTGATCTAAATCCGAGGTATTATCTAGATAGTCCTCTAATGCTGTTGCAGGACAAATGTTTGGATTCTCCAAGAAATAGGGGAGAAACAAGATGGGTGGTTCTTCCTGGGCTGCAGATGTTTTAATAATGTCTGTAATTACTATTTTAAATCCTTCTTGACTCTTATTAATATTATCAACTTTGATCAGTGAAATTCATTTGTACCCTATGTGCTGTACAGAGAGTAAGGCACTATTTTAATTTTTTTGACAGTTTCTCCAATGTAATATTTTTTATTTGGAAACCAGTTAGAGATATGGCTAAAAACTACTTTAAAGTTCCATGTATTGATATATGCAACGGGGTTTTTGTTTGTAAATACCTTTAATAAACGTTTTATTTGATCGTCTGAACTTATATTATTCTCTAATAACAAAGACAGAGCGGATCTATGTGAATTTACCGATCCGTAGGAAGCTCCCTCTGTATATTGTTCTGCTAAAAAGATTAACACGTCCTTGTTTGAAGGGTTAAGCGTTTGAATGTTTTTTGCTGCGCAGAACTGCCACCATATTTTATATGTGACGCTATATTGTTTTAGAGTATTTTCCGCAATCGAAGAAACCATAATGTCTAGTGCGACTGACGGTGTGTTTCTTTTGATAAAGGCGAGCCGCAGAGCTTCGCGGCCCCCAGGGTAAGGCTGCGATGTAGAGGGTGTAGCTGTCTGAAACGTGATAGTAAAAGCTTCTTACTAGGTTTAAATGTAATGATTTCTGATGCTAATAGGTCTTGTAGAAGTGGAAACCAGGCTTGTCCTGGCCAGTAGGGAAAAACCAGAATGCCCGTTGCCGAATCTCTAATGATTTTTCTCAAACATTTGAGTATAAGAGAAAAAGGTGGAAAAGTATAGAAGAAGTATGAGTCCCAGTTAATAGTGAAGGCATCTACCATAAAGCCTCTCTGGATCCCTTTTCCAAGATATATACTTTTGACATTTAGTGTTGGTGCGAGAGGCGAAGAGGTCTGCTTCCGGGTTTCCAATAGTTTACTATTTTTTGGAATGCCCAATCTGATAACTCCCACTCCGTGTCTAAATTTAGTTTCCTTGATTCTTCATCTGCTATAGTATTCTCCTTTGTATTAATATACGACGCGAAAAGCCAAACGTTACGTTCCTCGCACCAACACCAAATTGATTTAGCCAGATCGTTTAAATGTGGGAATTGTATGCCGCCCATTCTATTAATATAACTGATAGCTGTTGTATTATCTACGCGTAACAGTATAGAACAGTGGGACATATCGCGAGCAAAGCAGTTCAAGCTCATAAATATAGCTAAGAGTTCTAAATAATTAATGTGAAACAAATATTCCTCATCTGTCCAAGAGCCGTTTACACGTGCACCATTACAGAATGCTCCCCAGCCTGTTCTAGAAGCATCAGAGAAAATTTCCATTACGAAATTTTCGTCTGGTCTCAATGTGTTGGTGGATGAAATAATATTTTTTCTCCACCATTCTAATTCTGGTAACATTGATTCTGTTAATTTTATTTGTTTATCGTAACTGTTGTGAAGTTTTAACGCTAAATATTTTTGTCTTTCTAATATTTTTGTGTAGAGCCAACCATACTTGAGCGCAGGGCAAGCAGAGACTAGAACTCCAATTAATTGAGAAAATTCTCTAATGGTGCATTTTTGTAAAGAACGGAATCTATCGATTAGATTGCTTATGTTATTTCGTTTTTCTATGGGCAGTGATATAGACATATCTACTGTGTTAAATATAAAACCTAAAAACTTGCAAGTTTGTTGCGGCCTTAAGGAGCTTTTCTCGTAATTTATTACAAAACCTAAACATTTAAGTAATTTTAATGTTTTATTTATATTATCCTGGCACTCCTCCCGGGTGTTACCTATACATAAAATGTCATCAAGGTAAATAACTGATTTAAGCCTTTGCTGTCTGAGATAGATATTTATTTCTTTCATAATTTTGGTAAAAACTCTCGGGGCTACCGAAAGGCCATACGGCATGACTTTAAACTGATATGTTTGATGGAAGATAAAACGCAAATATTTCTGATGACTTTTCTGTATAGGTATCAATAGGTACGCCTCTTTGAGATCTACTGTTGCTAAAAACCCGTTTTTAGGTATTAATTTTGCTGCTGTTCGATGATCTTCCATTTTAAAGTGTTCTTTTGGAATGAATTCGTTGAGTGGTTTTAGATTTAAGATAAATCTCTTTGTTCCGTTTGGTTTCGGAGTTAAGAAAATACTAGAAGTAAAGTCATTTTTAGTTCGTTTACAAGATGTTATAGCCCCCAATTCTAGCAATTTATCGATCGCTACCCTCATATCTGAAAATTCTTTATTTGAATTTAGTATGTTACGGGGGGTGCAATTTTGGCTGATTTTCCTATTAAACGGGATTGGGTATCCATTACGTATCCATTTTAATACTACGGGATTTTTTGTAACTTTAAGCCAACAATTATAGAAATGCTGTATTCTGCCAGCATGTACCTCAATTAATGACGCGTTGGGGCACGTTGTCTCGTCTGGAATGAAGTTTTTGGTGCGTTCGAAACAGGAGCTCTGCGGTTGGTCATTACTCCCTTCTTGCCCCCCCCTCGTCCTCCTCTGTTCGATGGATAACGGGGAGGGGCCACCCAGTTTCCCTGGGAGGCCGTACGACTAGATGATTGTTGTGAAGCGGGCGTTTGGGTTTTAACTATGGGACTGGATTTTTTAATCTGTAGTCCTTGTTTTTCTATTGCCTTTGAAGCTTTTACTTTTTCAGGGAGGCTGCTTCCGAAGAGCATTTCGTCTCGGTCAACGTCCTGTATGACCTTGAGGAAGGACTTTTCCAAGCCGACTGTCACGAATTTCGTCCTAGCTTGAGTTTCAACGAAGTGTAGATCGCACAAAATGCGACAACTGTCACTTATAAGTTTTATTGCCTGGAGTTTATCTTGATCATTGTCCAGGAGAATCGACAGACCTCTGTTTAGTGCGGTTAACCCTAAAGCCAGCTGATCCTGAACTGCTTCTACTCTTTTATCCCGTCCTCTGACGGCGTCCGAGACAGCTGCAGCTATCTCTGGATTTAGCTTTGGGGCTTTAAGGAGCGTACAGTTAGCCGGGATTAAATATTGTTTCAATAATTTATCCTTTGACTCTTTGTTCAAACCTTTTTTGAGAATAGGTTGCCATAGTCGAGCTAGATTGTCGTGTATGTTTTCACCATATTTTGGTGAGTCATCCGTTGCTTCGCCTAGGGCGATTAGTATTTCGGGATCTAGTTCGGGAACTATGGTTGAATCTTGAACTGTCTCACTAGCATCTTGATTAGATGTCTCAGCTTCAGGTAGGTTTGCGGCTGTTTCTGGTGGAGTAGCAGCCGGTATTACTACCTCGCTACTGACTCGTGGCTCGTTATCTAAAAAATAACGAGAAAAATAAGTTCAGTTGTGTACAACTGAGGTAGCTTAGTGTACGTGTAATATAGCGAATATAAATATTTTTGTAATAGGCTATTACTACAATAAACTTTTTTTTTTTTTTCTTTTTATGAAACCTTTAATATTATATTTTGTTTAATCATATAAGTTTGTATGACCTTTTGTGGTGACCCGCGGTCGCCCTCTAGGTGCATGATTACATATACCATCGTGTTGATCCACGATCAACCTCCCGGGAAAAGAAAAGGTAACTATTATTTCATCGTATTTAACGAAAATTAGTATGATTACTAATTAGCCCGTGTGATGACCCACGGTCAACCTCTGGGCCTTCGTAATAACGATTATTGAAATAATAATCTTGTGTAAGGTACCGTCGTGATGACCCGCAGTCAACCTCCAGGCCCATTTTACACATAGTATTGAAGTACTGCAGGTTAGCTATTAAAGTACTTCAATGTATGTACAATGTACTTAAGACTTGTACACTATAGTAATTTGAACTTTTACTAACCTGAGATTTCGTCTGAGTCTGTCGAAATTACGTTTCTCCGAATTCTCTTCCGCTTTTGTTTTTCTTCTAATTTTCTGATTTTTCGATTGTAATGTTCGATCTTCTCTTGAGCACACCTTTTCGGCATGATTATTTTTATTTTACCGAGATACTTAAGAATAGGTGCTTTCGTTGCCACGCACGAAAAAAGAATGAACAGAAAACGAGAAATATGCAGGGATAGACAAAAGAATAAAAATAAAAATAAAAAGGGGGTATATCGATAACTTTATCGATTGTACCTCTAAAAATCGTGCGAGTTGCCATGTAGGATAAAAGGACTACCTGGTTAATATAATTGTATATCTGAAGAATGAAGAACGAAATATAATAGGCTTTTTTTCTTCGGCGGTAGTTGCAAAAGTCAGTAGTGCTCTTTTATGTTATTAATATATTTAATTTATAAATAATAGTTATAGTTCTAATTTAACGTTCTACTTACTGTGTTTTGTGTAAATTGTGTCGTTAGTTGTTTGCATTGCATTACATGCACATATAAGGATAGTATTTGTATAAACTGCCGGCTGCTGTTACTTTCACTATCACTCACACACAATTACAATAAAAATGGCCAACATCGCTGAGATTGCCTCTACCCAGAAATCCCTGGAGTCTACCTTAATGAAAGTGATGACTGATTTTGAAAACAGACTAAAGGTGGTAACTCCTCATACCACCGATGTTATACAGCTGTCTACAGAATTTCACGAATTTAAGGATTCTATGAGGCTCGTTCTTAACGTCCTACATCAACAAATTACTTCACTGACACAATCCATAGATGCTGTTGAGACGAGGCACAGAAATAAATTTCTACTTCTGAGTGGTGTTGCTGAGGGTGAAGGTGATCTAGCGTCAGTTGTTACTTCTACTTTAAGAGACAAACTGGGTATGTCTGATTTGAAATGCACAGACATTATTGGGTGTCATCGAATTGGAATTGTGACTGAGGGACGCTGCAGGCCCATTGTGTTTCGGCCCACTGACTCAGTACTTCGTTCTTCAATTTGGTCAAGAAAGACAAAACTAAAAGGAACACAACTTGTTGTATCTGAATTTTTGACTCGACGAAGGCAGACACTGTTTCTTGAAGCTCGCAGGCGGCTGGGCATGAGAATGGTTTGGACTCTGGATGGTCAGATCTTCGGCAAAGATTCTTCTGGTGCGCGTCGACGAATTACAACTATGGAGGATCTGGAAGCGGTGACCTCTAAACTGGACCCCTCTTCATCTTGTAGTAATCAGGATGTTGTTCCTCAACCTGGACAACCTACAGGGAGGACTCGACGTGGTGCAAGACCCAAGCAGTAACTTGACTAGCCCTTCATATAATTATACATTTTTTATTTTTAATATTATCTAGCATTTATGACCGAATTATTGGGTGCCTAGTTCTGTGTCTGTGTATGCTTGTTTATTGTTTGCATACAAACAGTATCTCAGTGCGTTCATGCATGTTTTGTTTGTTAATATACTCAATTTTAATAACAATTATTACGATTATAATTTTATATTTCATATTCCGCAGGTAGTAATTTTATTGCTTTCTTTTTGGGGTAGTCATTACAACTTAAACATCCATATCATAAATATTGTTTGTATTATTATTATTATTTTTTTTTTCTGTTGTTATGTTCTAAATATCCTTTCTGAAAGGCAAAGGGAACTATGTCTGTACAGCCATGTGTGTTTTGCTTGTTTGTCAGTCTAACTGTCATCGGTCATAGTGACATTAATCAATTGTGAAATCTGAATTCATAGATAACGTAAATTACAGACTGGCAAAGAAAGTAATCATATACAGCTATCTGATACACTAAAATTAGGCCGTATATGTATATATATTAGCACTATTTTATTTTGTTACAGTGTATTTAGTTGTATCTAATATCGGTCATCGTTAATTTCTGAATAATTATATTGATGAACTAACTGTTACCCACGACTTTGGTGCGTGGAATTTAACTTGTATTTTTGTTTTTCTTCTCATTATTGTTAAATTCATTCGTTATATGTAAATTGTGTAACATTTTATTTTAAATATCAGCCGGCAGGATATTGATTAAGTTTAGTTTAAGCATATTCTAAAAAGATTAATTTATATTATTGTTATATATATATATATATTATTACTTATTATTATTATAAACATATATACATATATTATCCATGTCGGATAATGATTCTTTTTACTCTGCCCATGACTCGAGCGACAACTATGAGTCATTTGATTCCTCATTAGACGATACTCCTCTTTCTGTTTGTCTCACTAATGAATTCCAACGTTTTTCTCACTGTCTGAAAATTTGTCACGTAAATGCTCAAAGCATACCGCAGCATCACTCTGAATTTCTTAATGTATTCTCTTCTTCTACTGCAGACGCTATTTTGGTATCCGAAAGCTGGCTGAAGCCGTCTATACCCTCTCCTTATTTTTGTCTACCAGGTTACATCTTGATACGCAATGATCGTGTAGATAGAAGAGGCGGTGGTGTAGCCATCTTTTTGCGTAGTGGACTTTCCTATAAAATATTACTTCTTCTTCTTCTTCTTCTTTAGACAACGCTGAATACTTATTTATTAAATTGTATGTCAAGGGGTATACAGTTGCACTAGGTGTAGTATATTGTCCCCCTTCTCTCGACTGCTTCGTTGAATTGGAAACAATCTTCGAATCAATCATGTCTGAACATGCTCACCACATAATCATGGGCGATTTTAACACCGACTTAATTCGTGATACGCTCAAGTCTCGTAAATTGCGCCACATCGCCGATTCTGTTGGTCTTGAATTATTGCCACTTGAACCAACCCATACCAATAAAGACTGTCCTGACAGCTGGATCGACCACATTTATGTGTCGTCTCCTCACCTCATTCTCACTCATGGTCAGTTTTCTGCTCCAGGATTTTCGAGACATGACCTAATCTACTTAATTTACAACATCAAAGATTTTAAATACACACCGGCTGAAATTAAACTAAGAAATTTTTCTAGAATGGATTTAAATAAACTTCTAAATGATGTTTCTTTAGTCGATTGGTCTCGCGTTACCACAGCACCAACTCTGAATGAAAAGGTTACTTCGTTTAATACTTGTGTGCTTAATTTATTTAACCAGTATGCACCTCTGCACCGTATTAAGGTTAAAAGACCACCTGCACCTTGGTTAACTAATGGTATACGCATGGCTATGAAAAAGCGTGATTGGGCATTTCGTGTTTTCAAAAAGCATCGCGATGAGGATAGTTGGACTGCATTTAAAAAGGCGAGGAATCTTTTTTTTTTTTTTTTTCGGAAAATCAATATGGTAAGTATAGAAACGTAATATTACAGTGCTAACACGAGAGGCGTGTTTGTGTTATAAATACTCATAAAATCATATATCAAACAAACAATCCACTAAATTAAAACATATGCTGAAATTAACAAACAAACATTTTTGAATAATGGAAACATATAAGCAATACCTATAAAAAGAATTGCCTGCTCATCACGGCCCTCGCTAAAGATATTCTATCGGAAAACAAATCAATATCTAACACCCTACTTAATCTATTGAAGTTATTACATATAGTTAGATGATACAGAAGGTATAGAAATTAAATCTGGTACGTTTAGCTGGTACATTAAAATTAAATTTTGAAAGTAACTCAGGACAGTCTATGACACCAATATTTTAAACGCGTCACCGGCTAATACTTGGAAGTTTCTGAAATCATTGGGACTGTGTAAACAGACCAGTGATTTTGTTTCAAAATTTTCGTTAAATGAGCTTAATAGTCATTTTTCTTCCTCTACTCTATTAAATAATGTAATTAAGACAGCCACATTAACTGAAATTTCTTCCTGGCCTAATTTGTCAATTGATAAATTTTCATTTTCTTTTATCACTGACGACGAGACTCTCAAGATAATTAAATCCATTAAATCTAACTGTGTTGGTTCTGACGATGTAAGTAGAACCATGATTATGTTTATACTAGAACACGTTGTACCTTTGATTACACACATTATTAACTTCTCTCTCTTTTCTGGTGCTTATCCTGAAACTTGGCTAAACGCTTTTATTCTTCCTCTTCCAAAGGTATCTTCTCCAAACTTCCTAAAGGATTTTAGGCCTATATCTATCTTGCCCTTCCTTTCTAAGATTTTGGAAGTTGTTGTACACAAGCAGCTCACTAATTTTATATACAGTAACAAGTTGGTTTCCTCATACCAATCAGGTTTTCGACCTGGACATAGTACTGCCACAGCACTTCTCAAAATTACTGATGATGTGAGGGAAGGCATGGAGAATTCCAAATTAACCGTTCTTGTCTTGATTGATTTCTCCAACGCTTTCAATACTGTTGATCACGACATTCTTCTTGCTATTCTTTCTTATCTTGGGGTCTCGTCGACAGCTTTTAAATGGTTCACTTCCTATCTTCAGGGTCGCCGGCAGGCTGTTTGCGTCAATGGATTAATCTCTGATTGGTGCGAGTTGGGTGCCGGTGTCCCTCAAGGCGGTATATTATCTCCTTTACTCTTCTCCATTTTCATTAATTTCATCACCACCAACCTCAAATGCTCTTACCATTTGTATGCGGATGATCTGCAGCTCTATTACCAAGCTGGGGTTGGGAGAATTGCCGAAGCTATTGCATGTTTAAACGAGGATCTTTGTCACATACAGAACTGGGCTAGTAGATTCGGTGTGTCTGTTAACCCAAGCAAATGTCAGGCTATTATTTTAGGGAGTTCACGGTTATTGACAAAACTGAACAGTACTCTGGTCCCCCCTATTGTCTTTAACAATAATTGCATTCCTTTCTGTTCAAAAGTTAAAGATCTGGGGTTGACCATTGATAGTAGTTTTAGTTGGGCGTATCATGTTAATGACGTCAGTAAAAAGGTTACATCTACATTGAGAAATCTGTATCGGCTCAAAAACTTCCTTCCGAGTAAAACAAAGATCTTGCTTATTCAATCGCTGGTATTGCCTATCCTTGATTATGCTGATGTGTGCTGCTCAGACATGAATGAAGACCTCTTGAACAAATTGGATCGTTTGCTCAATAATGCTATACGTTTCATTTTTGGACTTCGTAAATATGACCACATCTCTTCTTACCGTTCTCAGCTTAAATGGCTGCCCATCCGACAGCGACGTATCACACGTATCTTGTGTACTCTTCACTCTATACTATACGATCCAAATTCTCCTCAATATCTAAAATCTAAATTTCTGTTTCATGGGGATAACACCTCTCGTAACCTTCGTTCTTGTAGGACCTTGCTTCTTCACATTCCTGACCATCGTACTAACTTCATTTCTTGCTCCTTCGCCATTCAGGCAATTAAACACTGGAATGCGCTGCCCCTTGACATTAAATCTATTAAAAATAAATCTCATTTCAAAGCTAAATTACGGGTTCATTTTCTACGCAATGTGCAATCATAATTAAATTTCTGATTCTCCTTATTTATCTCTTTCTTTTCCGCTCTATTGAACTTATTTTCTGCCTCATACATGGGTAATTTTCCTGTATCTAAATATTTAATCCAAGTATGTATATGTGTATATATTTATTTATGTGTCGTATGTAAATATGTATGTCTAATAATATGTATTATTTTAAAGTTATTACGTAAATGTTTATAAACTATAATGCGCCGCTTACTAACTTCTCTGTTTGCCTTATGGTTGACTGGTAGAGAACGCCCTTAGGTGTTAAGTTCGCCATATGTACATTTATATATTGTATTTGTGCATTATAAGTTTAAATCAAAATTTCAGCTTTATTAAAATGACGTAAGTTTATTTATAAAATAGTATAGTTTAGGGGGTCCGGCGGGGGGTTGGAACCACACTAAGGGTCTGGCAATGAGCAGAGCAAGTTATAATACTGTTACGAGCAATATGTGAAAAACTGGAGCATCTTAAAATAACGAATTTGATATGAAATTGTATACACCGTTGTTACCCAATATACGGTTTCAATGAGTCTGGTAGGATAAGGAACCAAGAAAACTGTCTGGCAATTTAGGAAACTCAGTTTGAGAGAAATCTCAATAATATATATAAATTTCAGCTTTATTAAAATGACGTAAGTTTATTTCTAAAATAGTATAGTTTAGGGGGGCCGGCGAGGGGTTGGAACCACACTCAAATGTCTGGCAATGAGCAGCGTAAGTTATAATAATGCTACGAACAATATATGAAAATATGGAGTTTCTTAAAATAACGGATTTGATATGAAATTTTTTACACCTTTGTTACCTGTTACCTGCCAAAGGAACCACGATCCAGGTTTCATGTTTGGGGATCGTTCTTACCTGTGTTGGGGACACACATACAAGAACTTTCACGTTTACTAAAATGACGTATGTCTGGCAGTCGTGGGCTCTTGGGCTACAAGTTATAGGTAAAGGTCAAAGGTCAAGACGAGTAATGTAATAGTATTAATTTAATTTAAGGCAAACTAAACACAGATATTTGGAATAAACAATCAATAGGGGGTTCCGGGTACGGAACAGGTCAGATCAAATGTAATCAGAGGTTTCCAAACCACGCTCTGCTACCAAAATGTTAGGGAATTTACTCTCTGTATATATATAGGGAAAAATAAAAGTGGTGGCGTTAGTCACGTACCTGTATGGTTCTGTGGATTTCTTGGGCTTCAGGGTCTCGAAGATATCTTCGCGAGCTTTCCAGTTTCGCAGTAGGTTAACACAGTTCTAATTTATTTTAATTCACAATAAATGCGCGCGCGCATTCCCTTCCCCTCCCTTAACTAGTAACAAACGGACCGTACAGCGGGAACAGAAACTAACGGACTCTAATATAATAATCTGTGCTTACGATGATACAGGGGTATATTTTGAACAATCTACAAACCAACATTTTGTTTCTTACAATCAGCTAAATAATTTAAATAGTTTCATAATATATGACACAATGAAAAGGTCATTTATTTTATAAAAAAGGCAGTTAGTTTTTATTTTAGTGAAAAATAAGAAAATTCTATTTTGATACAACAACCATATATTTATTAATACCTATACTTTATTAATTTTGTGTTAATGCTTTTTAAATAAACACTCACACATTATTTCTGTATAACCTACAAAAATGGGTAAATAATTTAATTTCGGATAGTGCCAAACCACAACATTATTTTTAAAATGCAAATAATAAAATGTGGAGAAATTGTGATTGTTATTAAGTTTTTTTTTTTAATAAGTTCGTCAGAACAGAGAAACAACATTTGACATTTATTATTATTTGACTTAAAGTCAATGTCAAATGTCAATTTTTTTGTAATTTATATTGTAAAACTTTAAGTTGGGCTAAAGTAAAACAAATTAATAAAAAAAAATTGCCAAATTTGTCTCGCAATCGGCCAATTTGAGGTTTAAAGAAAAAACACATACACACGATATACGATTTTATCATAAAAAAGTGTTAAAAAACAATATTTTCGCTAAATGTCAACGTCATGTTTCCGGCAAGATCTTTCGTTTTACATTATGTTATCTGTGGTTTTGTTCTCTGTGATGGATACCTTATTGGCGCAAACGTATGCGATATGTTGATTGGTTGTTAGCTAGTGAAATGAAAAGATGACGAATAAGTGTGCGATGTATTCAACCGCATAAAGATAACTTATAATAAAAATGTATGTAATACTGAAAATTACCGAAACAAGATAAATAATGCATTTAGCATGCAGCATTAGCAGCTGATATTTTAAAGATTGTAACCAAAAGAAACACCTTCTAAATTGTTTCTTATAATCTAAAAACCGTTTCAATTCCACGCTGTCATTTCGGCAAAATAGCGATTCCGTGACATTGCAACGAGGTTACTAAATCGACATTCGATAGAAATATTTTTTGCGTTTACGTTGCAATGCTAGTTGACAGCATCAAATGGCGTCAATATAATCGCATTTTACGTCATTTTCACTACGTTACATACGAAAATCGTTGCGAACGTATTTAGATAATTAGCCCACTGGTCAGAGAGCACGAATGTTTTTTTTGCGCTCACGCTGTTTTGTTATTGTTTTTGTTAAGTTTTTACTTATGTTGTGTTTGTGGTAATTGTTGGGTATATTGTATATTTGCTATATTGTTTCGTACAAACAATATGGATCCTCAACCAAACACGTCAAGTCAAAGCTTGTCTCCAAGAAAGAAGAGACCATGGATTGCTTTAAGCGTTACCGAAAAACTTATGGGACAAAACGTCTACAAACACGTATTTGAGGAGAAAGCGTCTTCATTATTACCTATGGCTCCCGAAAAAAAGAATGTATTTCGAAAACAGCTGACATTTTGGGAATTGGTGTGACCTCAGTCGACAATGTATTAAAAGAATACCAAGAAAATGATCAATTTAAGTCTCCGGAGAAACGTGGACCGAAACACTGTTTCAAAGATAAATTATTGTCAATTTTTCAGCCCGCCATTCGATCCTGAGGATCCGCCGAGAGTCGGACCTCCGCGCTTCAATCTCGTGACCAGCGGGTGCCTCCCCCATGGAACGTCGCTCCGCGCGCCAGTGGTACACTGACGCGTGGAGCTTCGCTACCAAGTCCCACGGAGGAGACCCCGCCAGCAGACCCGCCGCTTCCCCGGATATGGTGCGGTAGCCTCTTATGGCCCTGATGGCCATGGCCCTGTGTGGCCTGTTAAGGCAGGCCACATTTTCCCGACCTAGGGCCCCCACCCAGATGGGGGCCCCGTACAGGGCCATGGACCGCACCACGCCGAGGTATAGGCGGCGGGAACCTTCTCCCGGACCCTTCACGTTTGGCAGCAGCCAGCTAAGAGCGCCAGCAGCTGCCATAAGGCGAGGGACCAGGTTCCGGAAATGAGCGCGGAAGCTCCAACGACTGTCCAGGTCAAGCCCCAAGTATCGAATACAGGGCTTGTCCCCACCCTCTGGCCACTGACGACCAGCTGGGCATCCGGAGTTGGCGCACTCCGAGGCCCATGAAAACATAGGAACTCGGTCTTCTCCAGCGCCACCTGGAGCCCAAGCATTCTAATTCGACCGACGACCAGCGCCACGCTTGCCGTGGCAAAGCGGGTAACTTCCCGTAGGTCTCGCCCCGGGGACCGGGGAGTGACCAAGGTGTCATCCGCGTAACACACGAGGTCAGTGCCCGTTAAAAGGGCGCCCCGCAGGTTCCAATCATACCCGATGTTCCACAGGATCGGGCCCAGAACCGACCCCTGTGGAACACCGCGTTGCACGTCCCTCGGCACTACAACGCCGTTCCGCCCCGTGCATAGCACAAACCTGTCCTCGAGGTAGGCCCCGATCACGTCCCGAATGTAGGGAGGCGCGCGATGGTACTGCAGCGCCTCCCTAATAGTCGCAAAGGGCAGGGTGTTGAAGGCGTTCTTTATGTCCAACGAGACCGTCAACAACACCCCACCCACCCTGCCTCGAGAGTCGGTGATGGGGGAGCCCCATGCCTTGGATTTGGCATTGAAGTCCCCCATTACCATAATGATCATTGTTACTATCAGAATACACTTTTTATGGTTACTTTTCAAATTAAAATACGGGAATGTGTTTAGTACTTGTGTATTACGATGACATGTAGAACCTTGACATTATGCTTTATAAAACACTTCAAAAACTGACAGCTGACTGACTTGCAACATGCCCCCGGACATTGGAACATAACAATGTTTCAAGCAGAAGTCGAGGAGATAGGCAGTGGACATATTTTTGAAAATGATCTCCTAATTACTCCAGTAGATGTACGAATGTCTGCAACTCGAACTATTCCATCAGAACCAGGATGAATGGCTACAATTCTTCCCAGCTTCCATTTAAGGGGCGGAAGGTGATCTTCTTTAATGACCACTAATGTATCAAGCTTTAGTTCCGATTTGCCTGACTGCCACTTGGTACGCTGCTGCAATTCGGCAACAAATTCTTTACTCCATCTGCTCCAAAAGTGTTGACGAAGCTGCTCTATGCGTGCAAAACGACTTAAGTTGCTTGTTGTCGATTGGCGCAAGTCTGGTTGTGGTAATGAGATGAGAGGTCGACCAATAATAAAATGCCCAGGAGTCAGCGGTGTATAGTCAGCAGGATCAGTTGACAATGGTGTCAGTGGACGGGAATTCAATATTGCTTCAATTTGAGTTAAAGTGGTGTTAAGTTCTTCAAACGTCAAGTTACAATTTCCCAACACTCGCTGAAGGTGGTACTTGGTCGATTTGACGCCCGCCTCCCAGAGTCCGCCAAAGTGAGGTGTATACGCGGGAATAAAATGAAAATTTATTCCCTGACTAACTACAGTATCAGACAAGGCATCACAATTTGCCTTTAAAAATTTCGATATCTCGTTATACGCACCAACAAATGAGGTACCATTGTCAGAGTATATATGAACAGGCTTTCCACGTCGCGATATAAATCTGTATAAGGCCATTAAATACTTATTACTAGTGAGATCTCCTACGAGCTCCAAGTGGATAGCCTTAGTGGTAAAACAAACGAATATTGCTATATACACCTTCATAAGTCTACAACCACGACCCTGACGACTAGCGCTCATTATTGGCCCGGCATAGTCAACGCCGACACATTCAAACGGATAACCTGGAAGAAGGCGCTGCTGAGGTAAATTCCCCATCAGTGGTGTTGCAATCTTTCCTTTCATCCGATTGCAACGTACACAT